CCCCAAAACCCCAAAACCCCAAAACCCCTTTTGGTCCTTAATAGCAAATTATAGATCATTTTTATATTAAATCATAAAATGATAAGAGCAGACCAAGGTATTGAGGATTTACCAGGAAATATGAACCTCTCAGCATTTTAACTGAGGGAAATGAAAACCAGAATGATTTATCTTGAGAATTTTCCAAACAATGTTGAAGAGAAAAATATTAGAAAGTCATTTAAGGAAAACGGAGACATTGAGAAAATCTGGCTAAGACTCTAGAAACTCAAAGATGGAAACGATCTGAGAAAATGCGCATACATTTTGTTTAAGAGTAAAGAAGATACTTAGAAAGTAGCAGAAAACATAGCTAAGTATAAGTTTGATGGCAGTGATTTTGAGATGAAGAATAAATAAAGAAAGCAGGAAAAGGCTATCAAAGTAGATGATAATGCAGAAATTAAAAATGATTATGAGACCACTATATTCATTAGGAATATTCACTAAAAAATTTAAGAGAACGATCTAAGAGAACATTTCAAGGAATGTGGCAAAATACTTGCAATAAATTTAGTAAAGGACAAAGAATCTAATAGAAATGCTGGAATTGCTTATATTAAATTTGAGAGTAAAGATGAGATGGAAGCATCAATTAAGCTAAAAAATAAGACAAAACTCAAAGTAAGAAATTAAAGTTCTAACTTAATTCACTATTTAGGAAAGATCCCTCAAAATTGTTAAAGCAATTGAAATTCATAAGCCTAAGGAATCTGAGGAAGACATTTTAAGAAGGCGTGAAAAGAAATTGTTAGAGAAAACAATGAAGTTGGAATCAAGATAAGGCAAAAATTTGCTATCTTCAGATATGGAAATCTTTCTTACTAATGCCAGGAAAAATCTTAAAGGAAATGGGAGATTAGATGAGATGGATTTCAACAATAATATGTCATTGAAGAAAAAGGAAAGGATAAAAGTCTTGGAAGAAATGATTGAAAGCAGAGATAAGAAGTCTAGCAGACACCAAAAAATTAAAAACAAAATTTTCAAGGATGTTCCAACACTGAATGAAGCCCACAGAAAGAAGAGAAAGCTTAGAAAGGCTCAAAACATGAAGAAATTTACTAAAATAAAGATAAAGAAACTGCCTCAATGAGTAAGACTGAGTAAATTTGAGTTATCTCATCCTACTATCTTCAATGAAGATAATAATTAAGATTATTATTAATGATTTATGAAATAAAATTTATCTATACCCATTTTAAAATATAGTGATATAATGATTCAAAACTTTTTAGTATTTTAGGTTCTTCTTTTTTTCTCTAGTTTAATAGCATTTAATGGATCAAGTTTTCCTGAATGATATTCCTTTGCAACTTCATGTGCTTGTTCAATCTGATCTTCCTCATCTCTAGTTTTATACTCAAATAATGTTTCCATAACAGAGCTGTCAGCAAAGTCTATCTCCTTTAATTTGTCAAGAGTTTTCAGAAATTGCTCTTCTTTGATATTTTAAACAAGCATATCCTGAAGCAATTTCTGTTCGTCATTTTTCCTATCAATTTCATTTCTATCCACGTTTCTAATGATGCTCTAAAGCTATTTCCTTTATCTGGTTCTCAAAGAATCCGTTTATTGTCTTTCCAATACACTTCTTTTGCTAGGAGATGGATACTTTGAAATCAGCTCCTTGATGTTTGTATCATTTAATTTAGGGGTCTCTTCTTTGAACTTAAGTCTCATACCTGTTGGTTTAAATTCAGTTTAGGGAATATTCTCTGCACCAAAATTCTCTTCAGGAGATTTAGAGGTTGCTCTTCCTAATTTATTATTCATTTTTGTCTTATTAGGAGTGAAGAAACTCTAATACATCATCTATTTTAAAGCACTCGATGTTGTTGTTAGCAATCCTGATGCTTTTACTTTATCATTATTATTGTCAAAAGACTAGTCGAATTTTCTCTGAACCTTTTTACTCAATATTGATTGCTTGAATCTCTATGAACCATCAAGATTTGATTCAGTAATAGACTGATTTAAAAATTCATTGTCTAAAATGCTTATATTCGCTTTTTAGACTCTGTCTCTAAGCTTCTTCCTGTGAATTATAGGCGCTAAATTAAGATTTCTTGATCCTTATGTATCTAATGAAGACTAATTTTTAATGTGCTGTTGTTTTAACTTAATAGTAGAAAGTGGTTCAGTACCGTCAGGAACCGAATATAATTCCTCTGATTTCTTCATGAGTGAAATAAAGGTATTTTCTTAGTCCTTAGAATGCTAATTGCTTCCATTTGCCACTATGCTTTTGCTAAGTTTATGATTTATGCTAATAACGGGCAACTCAATAATTTACTAGCTTTCATTGATTTGGACTTTCTTTAAATAGCTATCATTTTTGCTAGGATCTTTTGTATTATCAAGTCTACTTTTATTTCTAAGTGCATTTGCATTTTCCTCAGAGGAATCTTCCTATTCTAAAATTTATATTGTGTTATCATATGTTTCTAAAGTAGATTATAGTCTTGATTATAGTCTTATCGTTTCATTTAGTTTTGTCTCAGTTTCTTTTTTTTCTCAGCGCTTCTACAATTCAGATTTATTTTTGTCATCTTATTGCTCTTCTACTTATTCTCTTAATTTCTCTTCTTAAAGTTTCAAAAATAATTCTCTCTCTGATGAAGTTAACTTATCAATTCCAAGATATTCAGCAGTAAATAAGGTTTTCATTTTAATGAATTCCTCTTTTTTTCTCTTAAGATATTCAGGATTCTTCAAAACAGATGAGTCTAGAATATCTCTTTGATCTCTCTTGTATTGATAAAATACTGAGATGTCTTGGCAAATTTGTCTAATTTTTTCTCTATAAGGGAAGTTTTTTTAATTATATTGGATCCCATATTCCTTGCAAATTCTTTAAATTTCAGCGCGCTATATGTCTATTTAATATTCTTCAACCTAATTTTTCTTCATAAATTAGGCAATATTGTACTCCTCTTGCTTCTTTTTTTCTTTTAAAAGCATATGAAGATCAGCTTTTCACTCAAAATACAGTGCTTGACCTTTCTTTTTTAAGATATCATCAATTTTTATAATGCTTTCGTTAGTCTTACTCTTTTATTTGTGATAAATAAGATCCATTACCTCGTAATTTTTCTATTTTCTCCCCTCTTTGTTCTTATCCCGCAAGTCAAAAAGATTTTCATTCAAATACTATTATTCTGAGGAGTTGCCATGAGAATTTATTTAAGGGAGTACCTATAGTTAACTCAATAACTCAATATTAATTTTTATCTTACCTGATTACGAGTTTAATTCATTTTTAGTGCAAGTTTATATATTAATAAATCCGAATAAACAACTGTATCACAAATATTCATTCAATTTAAGCCATTTGGGGTTTTGGGGTTTTGGGGTTTTGGGGTTTTGGGGAGGT